CTGCCACACAACACCTCAGACTTAACAACTGTTGATAAGAAAGACAAAAAAGTCTGGAGAGTGGACACTGCAATACCTGGAGACAACAAGAATAGAAGAGAAAGAACTGGAGAAAATCACAAAATATAAAATTAGAATTAGAACAGTTATGGCAAAAATAAGCAAAAATAGTACCAATAGTTATAGGTGCCTTAGGTACGTTCCCAAAACATCTGGAGCACTACTTGAACACCATCAGTCAATTGCAAAAGGCAGCTTTACCTGGAACGGTTTATATTTTGTGACGATACCTTTAATACCATCAAACAACATCTGCCTATCTCAGGTCCTTGGGAAGGATCTTTTTTGGCATTTTTTGTGGATAGGTGGATTAAAAATGCCAAATCCAGTCTAAACATCTGGCTGACTCTGCAACCAACAAGAATATATTAAGCTTGCATGCTGCCTGACTTAAGAATCTGTATCGTGGCCAACGCTTATTGTCTTTTAAATGATGTCTGACTTTGGAAAAAGCAGCAAACTGCCCAAGTTTGCAAATATAGTAAACTATTCAGGGTGGTTAAAAACAAAGATGATTGTAAAGAGCTTCAGAAGCATCTCTTTAAACTGTGTAAACATATCACCAGGGCTTCCAAGCTTCAATTTCTTTACGTAAAGTTATAATCAAGATAGTTATTAATACATTCAATCCTATATTGAAAAGTATGCAATACTTACCAAAAGTGCCATAAAATCCTCTAGGGCCACATGTGCCAACACCATATTTTGCCAGAGATGCCTGGGCTGCATTCTTCAAAAAAGTATAACAAGAAAATCATATTACATGTAAGTCTATTGTAGAATAAAATCATTACTATATTGATATAATATATTATACTTATCTTTTCATATAATCACTATTTATTACATAACCTCTATGCCTGTCTGCATTCCCCCAGGAGTAATTGCCTGTGGCTCATACAGACAGCATGTGGGACCAGAGACCTTTTTTTTTCCATTCTAACATCCTATCACCTTGCACAGCATGAGTGGGTGGGATTTTGATGATCTTAAGAGAAAGAAGATGGTGAAGAGGTAACCTTCTTTGCCACAATTTTGATGGAAGTAAAAATTGTTCCAGAAGCGGGTGAAAAACAAGGAAGAAAGTGAATACAGCTACAAATTAAAGAAATGAAATAATTTGGGATGAAACTGAAGTGAGAGATTGCTGGAAGAAATATTTTTGAGATTTGTATAGGAATGTTGAAGAGTAGAATTAAAATGTTGATGAAAAGGAAATCATAAATGTTTGAGAACACTAAAAAATGATAAGGCTGCAGGTGCAGAAGATGTAACTGGAGAAATGTTAATATATGGATGGGGTCTCTTATACGACTTATTTAATATGTGTGTAAAGACTGCGTCTTTGCCTGATGACTGCAAGAATATCATTTTGGTTCCTTTACTTTCTCATACTTTCTACACATGTGGACCACTAAATAAACATTTGGAAAATGCATGGACCACCAATAAAGCAAACACTCCCTCCCTATATTTTTAAGAGCATGGAAATTTATTTATTTTTTTGGCAAAAGGTAATGATTATGGTCACATTTGTGAACGCCTTCCGTTTTAAGGACCTTTCAACTAAAATTTGTACCAACTTGCTGGTCGAGAATATTGTTCAGTACAAACATCCAAACATTAAAGGATGAGGACTGAAAGAATTTCCATACAATGAAATCTCATTTTTAGATATTCACCACTGTGTTTTCTATTTGCATTTTTCTTAAAAGAAATGGTAGTCACATTGGTACTTATTATACCAACTGTACACTTCAATAAATCAGTTTCCAGCCACACGTTCTTGTGAACCAATTGATTTGGGAGCACACAGGGAAGCGGGGCTAACATCGTAAGCAGGGTTCCACCAGCAGACTGTCAGTGTACACAGGGAAGAACGGACTGAGATGATGAACAAGCATTTGTCAGGTCATCCTGCAAAAGGGAATGCTGTGATGAGGCTCTGAGAGGCTTTGGCCTGCCATTATGAGGAGGCTACGATGGACCACATGGTTGACTTCTATAGACCACTGATAGTCTGCATATGTTTCACTGCCTTAGTGAAACAAAAAAGTAACAAGAGTGAATTTTAAAAAAAGTACAGGATGATTAGTTTAAGTCTGCTTAGGAAGTTGCAGTGTTCTGATCAGAAGGGTATGATATGTGACAATCAACATTTGGAAAATGTAGGTAGCCTTATCTCAGGCAAGGAATATGCAGACCAGAGTTTTTGTTCTTTAGCAGGTTACTGAGAATTGTATAAAAAAGAAAAAGGGTTTTTTTTGTACATTTGTTGATTTAGAGAAAGAGTGTGATAAAGCAAGTACACTTGAATTATGGAACATTATGTCCAAATATGGAACTGAAGTCTGGTTGTAAAATGTGAGAAGAGCAGTGTAAGATGGAAGTAAAGCACGTGTGAGAATGGTTAGCAAATGGTTCAGCAATGAGCAGATTATTCATGAGATTCAGAGGTGCCCAACTCCAGAACGACTCTGGGCAGCCTACACTAGATAGTAAGAGAAGGATATGTAATGTCCTTTTGCTATTTAATGTATTTGAGTAACTCTATTAAGAAATGTCTGTGATGACATTGGAGATGTGCTGCTTGGGAATATGAATGTATATGTACTTTATACACAGACAATGCTATGTCATTTGCTGAGAACTAGAATAAATTGCAGCAAATGTTGGTGAGACTGTACGATGGAATAAAGACAACAAATCTGAAAATTAATATATGAAAGATCAAGGTAGTTGTTTCTGACAGGGAAAATCGGAGTGAATTATTATAAATTATATACATGGAAAAATTAGAGTAACTACATGAATTTGGGTACTTAACAGACTGTTCACAAAAGATGGGAAAATAAATGGAGACATTTTAAGATGTGCAAATGCTGTTAGAAAGGTAGGAGGTAACATATGGTTTGCTGAGAAGAATGAAAGCATCAAAAGAAATGAAATGGCTGTATATATAGAAGTGTTTTTTGCCTACTTTATTATGAAGGGTTGGATATATTAGGAGACATAAAAATAACCTGAATACAGTGGGAAATGGTTACTTAAGAAGTGTGG